ACAACAGAATCAAAAGACATCCTAGAGTCTGTAGTCTCAGGGCCTTGCCTCACCCACCAGAGAGTCTCCTACTGATGGGCTGACACCTCGAACCCCAATTGTCACCTGCTGCTCCCCTGACATGGCTTATGTCTCATTGTGTTAACATGGGTGGAGTGGAACATGTGTTATCTCCCTGTTTTCCTCTTTCTAAGGTTGTGGGTTTTCCAGGATCTTCTGATGAGCTAAGCCTACCAGCTCTTGAGGAGTGGGTACTGTATCTTTTTGTTGGTTTTTCTAGATAGGGCTTCTCTGTAGCTTTGGAGCCTGTCCTGGAACTAGCGCTTGTAGACCAGGCTGGCTTTGAACTCACAGGGATCTGCCTACCTCTCTCTCCCAAGTGCTGGGATTAAAGGTGTGTGCCAACACCGCCCAGCTGTGGTACTGTGTCTTAGTCTCCATCATTCTTGACTGGAGCCCTGATCCTGTTGATACTCTTCTATCATCAGCTATAGTGCTTTCTTCAGTGATACTTTCAGAGAACACATAGGCATTTGGATAAGGACATGAACGAAGTAACAATCTTTGGTTTTTTTCTCTCTCTTTACTCTGCTCAGCTGAGCATAAACTGTGGGTAGTAACGATTACCTAAATTATTCTATTATTAATAAAGACTCCCGAGTCAGATATGGGGTTAGAACCAGATTGATCAGGGGCAGAGAAGTAACTAGTGACCTCCTTTCTTTCTCCTTCCTTAATCCAAAGAACACACATCTTTCTAAGCATCTCTCTACTACCCATGTCTCTCTATATATCCTCAGTCCTCCAAAACCTCTATGGCTAATTTTGGTCAGCTATTAGCTAGCTCTGGCCTCGAATACAAGGTAAACCTTATTGCCACAGCAGAGTGGTAGTATGAACAATTCTGCAACAGGGCAGAAATAAAGTTTAGATTTAGATGTGGCCCTTCACTGTTTCCACCTCTGTTCTCACCTCCTGCCCCAGGAAGCTGGAGTGTGTGGAGGATATTTCAAATAGTGAATGAATGGTAGTCAATTCATCTAATCTAATGCAGCAAAATATATTGCTTCTTCAGACTCAAGGAATGTCACCTGGCCAGACTTTAGGAGGCAAGCAAGACCTCTCCCAATTTTTAACTTTGTTAACATAGTTTGTGTGACTAGAGAGAGCTACAAGAGAGACCATGGGAAGGATCTCTCTTGAACAGAGCTCAAGTCTTCACAGCACCCTGGGTTCTTTTGGCCTTTTGCCTAGACCATGGACACATTAAAAAGCAAACAGAAGCAATCACTGCCAAGAAGCCTAAGTGCAGCTGCTGGAATACGGAACGATGTAGTCTTGACTTAGCTCCTGTCTTTACCTGGTTGCCCCCAGTTTCGCCTGTGACAGCAGTCTCTACAGCAGTCTGTGTGGTAGACATCTTACAGCTGGAGAAACTGGAGTTTACAAAATGCAAGGAACTTGCCTAGGATCACCAACTTTGAAGTACAAGACTAGATGCACACCACAATCTGGAACCATACTAGATGTTTCACAGAAGTGAAAGGGAAGTCGATAAAATAATCAGGAAAGCACTGGGGCCCCCGCGGCAGCAGGAATCGCAGGCAGTGCCACACAGAGTAGGCTGGCACGAGCGCCATAGTTGACACTTCCGCCGCTGTGCTGGGCACTCCTGGGGAACTTGTCATCTGCTGTTCTGCTTTTGTGTCTTTCTTCGGGAAGTCAAATGGGACTGTCTACCTGCTTGGCAGCCTCCTTGTGTGTGTCATTGTTCCAGCTGCCAGCAAGTGAAAGGGTTCCGAGGTGGAAAACTGGGTTCTGCTTCCCACCAAGACCAGCATCAGTGGTCAAGAGTGTTTGGATGCTGCCTGGCAGAGTTCAGTTGAAATTTCAGGAAACCTAGAAACTTAAAGTGCAGTTGCCACATGAGGATTAATGGTGGTTTCTGAATTAGTCACAAAACCTGACCACAGATGAAGTGATTGTCCAGCAGAACCTACCAGCTATCAGGAGCAGTCAGAGGAGCGACTGTCAGGGACAGCGCTCTCTAACTTCTAGCTGGTCCTGTGGGGTCTTCAGACCATGAGTCACCTTCTTGAGCAGTGTTTCACTGTAACCACCTCATTAGCCTTAGTGAGCATTTCTCTGTGTATCAGGAGGAGCAGGTTTTTGCCTTTTTATCTTTGTCCTGCCTTAGGCTCTTTTGTGTTAGACTACAGAACACTGGGGCTGAGATACTGCTCAGCCATTTGAGATACTTACTGCTCTTTTAGATGACCTAAGTTTGGTTTCTAGTGCCTGTACCAAGTAGTCATTACTGCCTGTAGCTTATGTTCCATGGACTCTGATGCTCTCTTCTGGCTTCACCAGGCACTCACACATGTGTGCACATACTCCACATACTACATGCACCTACATGCAGATAATGAAAATAAATCCTTTTTAAAAGGACTAGCACTGGGCAGTGGTCTACAAATCAAGTTCCAAGACAGCCAGAGCTACACAGTGAAACCCTGCCTTGGGGAAAAAAAGAAAACAAAAAGGACTAGGAAACGTATTTTAAAACAAACAAAAAATGAGGCTAGTACTCAGTAGGTACCTAAGAATATTTGAGCAATTTGAATTTTCCCTTAAAATCTTTTCTTGTGAAGCTGAAGTGATTCTTATGAATGACTAGTTCAGGTGTGAGCTGCCATGTGGGTACTGGAAATTGAACCTGAGGTCCAGTGCTCTTAACCGCTGAGCTATCTCTCTAGACCCAATATTTTAATTTTATTTTTTTTTTTAGGTTTAATGTATTTTTTAAATGTGCTGTGGGAAGATGGATCAATAAGCTTTCTACTTTTGTTGTTACAGGTGTTCCAGGACTTGGGTACTGAAGTACTGTCTGGAGCTGCCCAAGGTTACAACATATGCCTCTTTGCCTATGGGCAGACGGGCTCTGGGAAGACATATACCATGCTGGGGACTCCAGTAAGTGTTAGCACTGGAATGAACTATCTTCCTAATGTCACAACAAACCTGTATCTTACATTGTCCTTACCACTGTGATATGGAGCATGACCTCCATAATCAATATTAAAGGGATTAAAGGCATGCGTGTGACCCTCTCCTATACTTAACAATGGCATTTCACTAGTTTACCTGAACAGTAAAGTTTGTATAATTAGTCTCTCTTTGTGAAACTTTGAAAAACTAGACTTTCATGATTCCCTTTGACAATGAGTCCTTGTTGGTCCCACTGGATATATGTATTACTTCCAGGTTCATCACATAAAGCTTCACAATTTGACTGGGGTTAAACCTGGACTGCATTTTAGTGCTATACAGGGATAAGAATGCCGTGTTCAGCTTTCAAAGCTATGTGTATTAGAAGAAAGCAAGAGATGTAGCTTTGCTGGGGGCTTTTAAAAATGTAGAGTATAATGCAAGTTGTTTTTAATCACAGAAAATTGAGGGGATAATGCCAGGTATGGTGGTACATGCCTTTAATCCCTTTAATCTTTGAAGGTAGTAGAGGCAAGGCAAATCTTTGAGTTCCAGGCCATCCAGGGATACACACTGAGACTCTGTCTCAAAACAGACAACAGCAATAAAAATAAAATTAAGGGGATAGCATTCCTTAAGAATACCCTTAGTCAGGACCACGAGGGGTGCACCCACCCACTGTGACAGTGGAACTGATCTATTGGGAGCTCACCAAGGCCAGCGGGACTGGGACTGAGTAAGCATAGGATGAAACCGGATTTTCTGAACGTGGCGGACAATGAAGGCTGATGAGAAGCCAAGGACGATGGCACTAGGTTTCGATCCTAATATGTGAACTGGCTTTGTGGGAGCCTAGCCTGTTTGGATGCTCACCTTCCTGGTCCTGGATAGAAGTGGGAGGACCTTGAACTTCCTGCAGGGCAGGGAATCTAGACTGCTCTTCATTCTCGAGAGGGAGGGGGAATGGAGTGTTGGGAGGGAAAGAGGAGTGGGGAGAGGGGGAGGGGAGTGGGGGAAGGGGTAATGTGTGCGAGGAGGGGGAGGGAAATGGGATTTTTTTGTTTTGGAACAACTAAAAAAAAAAAAAAAAAAAAAAGAATACCCTTTCTAGCCAGGCAGTGGTGGTGCAAGCCTTTAATCCCAGCACTCTGAAGGTGGAGTCAAGTGGATCTATGTGAATTTGAGGCTAGCCTGGTCTACAAGAACTAGTTCCAGGACAGAGTCCAGAAACCCTGTCTCGAAAAAACAAAACAAAACAAACAAACAAACATAGAAGATATAGAAGTATGCTAGTGAGATGACCTGGGCACTGGTTGACAAATAACATTGTATAGAAACAATCTGAAAAAATAGCCCACTTCTCTGGGTACAGCTCACTGTTCCCTTTGTCTGTGGTTAGTGTGGTTTCAGACATTTGAAATTAATAAAAAAAATCCTACTAGGTCAAAGGGGATAAAACCTTAAGCCTCTGGTTATGAGATAGAGGAAATACCTACTTCTTTGGATTTTTGCAGTTTTGCAGAGGGTGTTTGTGTGTGCTTCTGTATCTAGGGATCTAGACACAGTAGGGATCTAGAAGAGACCACATTAGTGGTGGAAAATGATAAAGTTCATTGCAGGAAAGCACATGTCTAAGTTTGCCAGCTTCTCCTATCTATCTTATGGTAATAATCTGCCTCTCATCTGTGTCTTTTGATAGTGCCAGCCTCAAGTTTTATATGTCCTTCTATAGTGGCTAGCTAGCACTAAGCCCACACACCCCTCCTCTGTGTTTGGGGGGGTCCAGGGTCCCGGGCGTTTGGGGGTAAGAGGAGGGCAGGGGCATTGCCCAGAGTGAACAGTAATGTTTTTCTTTTTCTGTCATCCAGGCTTCTGTTGGGCTGACCCCACGGATATGTGAGGTATAGACTCTCTCTGATGATGTACTTTCAGAGTAAGTTTCCTATGTCAGCTCCCTTCAGGGAAATCTGACCCTCTGATTTTGTGCAGGCTCTCTTCATCAGGGAAGATGACTGTGCCTCACTGCCTTCTTCCCGCAGCATAAAAGTAAGGTAAGAACTCAAGCTCTAGACCCCTAAATGTCCTAGTTCCTTGGTCTATTTGTAAAGCTCCTAGCAGTGAGACCAGGACCTGTCCTTGATGCTTAGATGGCTTTTGGGAATCTGTTTCCCATGCTGGATTTCTTCAACCAGCCTTGATGCAGATGGAGGAGCTCAGTCCTGCCTCAACTCGATGTGCCCTGCTTTGTTCAAGCCCATGGGGGCCTGCACTTTTCTGAATGGAGGCAGAGGAGGAGTGGATGGGGAAGGTGGGATGGGTGGAGGAAGGGACTTGATGCCCAGGACAGAAGGAGCGGAGGGAGGGAAAACTGTAATTGATATGTAAAATAAATGGAGGGCAGAGCTGGTAACCAAGGTAGAAAACGCTGGGGCCTAAGCTTTAGTGGTTCTTAGGGATGGCGGCAGCTGCAGCAGGATCTGCAACGTCCCAGCGGTTTTTCAAGAGCTTCTCAGATGCTCTGATCGACGAGGACCCCCAGGCGGCGTTAGAGGAGCTGACTAAGGCTTTGGAACAGAATCCAGACGATGCACAGTATTACTGTCAGAGAGCTTATTGTCACATTCTTCTTGGGAAATATCGTGATGGTATTGCTGATGTAAAGAAGTCTCTTGAACTCAATCCTAACAATCCTACTGCTATCCTTAGGAAAGGGATGTGTGAATACCATGAAAAGGACTATGCTTCTGCTTTAGACACTTTTGCAGAAGGACAGAAATTAGACAGTACAGATGCAAACTTTGCTATCTGGATTAAAAGGTGCCAGGAGACTCAGAATGGATCAGAATCTGAAGTGTCTGCGTCTCAGAGAACTCAGTCGAAAATCAAGTATGACTGGTATCAAACGGAATCTCAAGTAATCATTACACTTATGATCAAGAATATTCAGAAGAATGATGTAAATGTGGAATTTTCAGAAAAAGAGTTATCTGCTTTGGTAAAACTTCCTTCTGGAGAAGACTACAATTTGAAGCTGAGGTTGCTTCACCCTGTAGTACCGGAGCAGAGCACGTTTAAAGTGCTTTCAACAAAGATTGAAATTAAAATGAAAAAGCCAGAGGCTGTGAGATGGGAAAAGCTAGAAGGGCACGGAGATGAGCCTACACTAAAGCAGTTCACAGCAGATGTGAGGAACCTGTACCCGTCATCATCTCATTATACCAGGAACTGGGATAAACTGGTGGGTGAGATCAAAGAGGAAGAGAAGAACGAGAAGCTGGAGGGCGATGCAGCTTTAAACAAGCTGTTTCAGCAAATCTACTCAGATGGTTCTGATGAAGTGAAACGCGCCATGAACAAATCATTTATGGAGTCTGGTGGTACAGTCTTGAGCACCAACTGGTCTGATGTAGGTAAAAGAAAAGTTGAAATCAACCCCCCTGATGATATGGAATGGAAACAGTACTAAATAAATCAGTTTGCTATCACAAAAAAAATAAAATAAATGGAAAAAAATGTTAATTAAGTTTTAAAAAATTAACTAAAAAAATGCTATCTTAGTTCCTTTCCTGTTGCTATGATTAAACGCCAAGACCAAAGCGACTGATAGAAGAAAGAGTTTATTTGGACTTAGGGTTCCACAAGGTTAGGATATATAATGGTGGGTACAGGAAGCTGAGAGCTCATATCTTAAACCATAATCATGAAGCTGAGAGAACTAGTGGGGACTGTCAGGAGGATTTTAATCTCAAAGCCTGCCCCAGTGACACACTTCTTCCAGTAAGGCTGTTCTGCTCACTGTCTTAGTTACTTTTCAGTTGCTGCAAGAGGACACTAGGACCGAGGCAACTGGAGGGTCCCTATTGCGAACAGCACTGAAATCTGTGGAGTCCTAAAGGTAAGGAAGATGTCTGTTCCAGCAGAGGATTGTGATTTGTGTGTCGACCCCTAAATAAATAACCATCTATTTGTTAGTTCTGAGCTAGTGTGGGATTTCTTTTAAGCGTCCTTCCACATAACTGAGACCCTTTTCACATAAATTTTTGATTTTATACTCAGTTTATGTGGTAAAAGATTCATTCTGAGATAATATCTTCTCTCTACATTAAAATTCCTGTAGTGGAATGTTAGGGGGGGTAACATGACCAAAATGCAGTTAAGACTCAGATCTACATGATCCACATGTGCCTTCTGTAATTTCTCTTCAATCAAAGCCAATTCTCTCTTCCAGTTGACAATACCCTGGGTCTGTTTAAGTCATTGTCACCAAGGTTTTGTTTAAATTAATCAGATCATCAGGTTTTATTCCAATAGTGTGCCATAGAAGGAAAATGTCCCCTAGCAATCTTTGGAAGTCATTAAGAGTCTGCCAATAGTCTTTCCTAATTTTCACCTTCGGGATTTTATTTTTTATAAACCTATTTTATAAGCTAAATAATTTAAGTTTATTATATTGCATTTAAATTAAAGATATTACACATAATACTGCTTCAAGGGACATTTAGTACCCCCTGTATATTATTCTGGGACGTGGACATACAACTGAGATCAAAAGAGACTTCTTTTTTTTTTTTTTTTTTTGGTTTTTCGAGACAGGGTTTCTCTGTGGTTTTGGAGCCTGTCCTGGAACTAGCTCTTGTAGACCAGGCTGGTCTCGAACTCACAGAGATCCACCTGCCTCTGCCTCCCGAGTGCTGGGATTAAAGGCGTGCGCCATCACCGCCCGGCGAGACTTCTTATAATAAAGTGTGATAAGGCAATAAGATAGTTACGTTAGGTGGCAAAATAGATATAGTAAATACACAACTTTAAATAAGCAGCTGAGAGATGCCTCACCGAGCTACTATTTGAGCCTCGGGATTGTGTGGTCATTAGCATGAGATTGCAAATACAGTGGGCTAGCTGAGTGCTTGGTGTACAACGAGATTCCATAAAGTCATAGTAACATTCTTACGAAGAATGTCTGAAATCATTAGGAGTTGGCTAGATTTCTGCACCCTCTGCCGGCCGGCCTTTTGGGGGGAAGGAGCACTTGATGAGTGCTCTCTGTCTCTTGTTGGAGCTCCTCACTGACTCTTCCCAGAGCCTGAGCCCTTTGATCTCTGTCTGCTTATCCCAGCTGAAGCACCACTTTCCAACTCTTCACTGTCTCTTAGATCACATCCTGAGCGATCCCAACAAAGGATGCCTTGTGAGGTCAGGTTGTAGTCCGACCCTTGCTAAATTGCTGTTGTCTTTTACTAGCCTTGTCTCTGGTTCTCATTTTTTCATCGCAAAGTTAAAAAGCCATACTAAACCAAGTTTCAGGCTCTACTCCGGGTGGGTTCTCACACAGAACCCAATACTAGCAGCTGGTGCCCCTAGTCCAAAATCTCCTCAAAAGCCTGGCCCATAGTCTCTAGCACAAACAGCAGTAGGTAAGAAATTAGGGTAAACCTGAACTCCCAAACTATGCAGCAAACACCTGATGTTTGCAGAATACCCATCCTCTCTCCATAGCCCCGCCTTCTTGGATCTTCTCCTGGGTCACACCCCAACACATAATCATCTGCCATGCCTCTCCCCCTTAGAACCCCTTGGTTGTGTCTTTGTGGAAGTGGAAGGTTGTAGGGCATCAATTGGTGTCTGTCATTGTGACGCGATAGGTAACAAACAAGGCCTGCCTGGTCGCCAGGGTAATGGCGCGTTCGCAGTTCCAAAGGCAGAAGCCTCAGTCTCGTCTTCCGACCCAAGGAGAGTGGTCGTGCTTCAGGGACGCGGAGGCGGAGGCGCTGAGTTTGGGATTCCAGAGTTGACGTGGCTTAGGTCGAGCGGGATTCCTGAGTTGACTTGGCTTAGGTCGAGCGGGGGGAGCCCGGCTTTGCCGGTGGCTCCCACCTGCAGGTGAGTGTGGTGGGCAGGCCTCGCTGGGAGCCCCGCATAAGCCCACAGTGCACCGCACCGCTGGCCAGGGGACACTGGAGCTCAGCCGGCCGCCCCGCCCCTCGGGGCTCCGCCTCTGTCACCTGCCCATCCTAGGTGGCAGCCCAGTTGCTGCAGCCCTATGAGGCCCAGGAGCATTTAGACACCCTGGTGGCCTGGTGGCCAGCAGGGTCCTTTCTCCTTGGGAGAGGCTCAGAGGTGGGCGAGCCGGCCAGTCCTGCGTGTTTCTAGGTGGGGTGTGTGACAAAGCCTGGCTTTAAGTCTAGAGACTCCTTTATAAATATGCTAATCACCCTCAGTGGAAAACCACACACTATATGCCTGAATCTCAACATCATATACCTTATGGACTGTACAGATATGTGTCAATAAAAATAAGAACTTAAGTTTCCTATGGGTGTCTCTAAACATAATTATTTAACAGTTTCTGTTCATTTTTCTTTACAAAACCACTTCTCATTGATAAAACACAGATATAGAAAGGCACACTATAAAACATATAGTTACTGTAACAGATATAACTTGGTTGTCCATTCTAGAAGCCCTTCTTTATGCTTTCCTTTTAGTTTTATTATCCTTTTGGGAATCTTGCCCTTTTCACTTGCTACGTCTTCCATCTTTTGCTTACAACTGTGTGTTGAGAGACATGGGTCCTGCGGCTGTGGAGTTGGACATTCCGCAGGAGTGCACATGGGTTATGTGGTTCAGTGTGTTCCTCTGTCCTCTGCGTTTCCTGCAGATGTAGCAGGATGGGTGGCCTGAGTTTCCATGCTTTGACAAGACTCTAGAAGGTGGTTATCTTCTTTCTTTGGGAAGTTCATAATGTCTGGACTTTACTTTATCAGCTATTGACTGATCGGTATCTAGATACCTTGATCAGGGCCTGAAAATGTTAGAATAGTTGTTTTCTTTTTTTCTGAATAATTTTATGGGAAGGTAGTGCACACTCGTGCGTGCGTTCTTGTTTATGTGTGTGTGTGTATGTGCGTGCGTGTGTGCGTGCAGGCTAGAGGTCAGCCCTGGGTGCCCTTAGGAATCCTCCACCCTTGCCCTTTTGAGACAGGGTCTCCCTGGGACCTGTGCTGGTCAGATAAGTGAGGATGGCTGTCCAGGGAGTCTCGAGGTCTTGCCTTCACATTTTTGGTTCTAGGATTCCAAGTGTGCTGCCAGACCTGGCAATCTGTGAGCCATTCCCTCATCAGTGTGCTCGACACACTGATTAGTTAACAAACGCCAATTGGCTCTGCCCTTTGCTTGGTTTGTTGCACACCCGTGGCTACCATCTGTTTCCTCTTGAACGGACACTGCTGAAGCCAGATTTGGTGGTGGTCGTTGATTTTGACTGTTGCTACGTTAACCTGGGGGTTGATAGGAAACTTGATTGTGCAGGGACGACTTTTCTATTGTTGGGGGGCGGCGCTGTTTGTTCTGCTCAGGTTGCCCACAGGTCTTTGCTGTTCCTCTACTTGCTTTGCTCTTATCTGGGGATCTAAGAAGCACACACATGTTCCTTCTTCCCTGTTTATTGCCATCTTCTGAGTCCATCAGTTGGTTGTTTGCTTATTCCCAAGAGCGGCATGTAAAATTTAAAGACAGAATGATCATCTGATAAGTTATATTCTAGTATGAATTTCTTTAGAAGATTTATACAGATCTCTATGGAAGATTACTGATGGTGTTCATTTCCTTTATTAAAATTAATCTTCAATGGTTGGGGTGTGGATTAGCAGTTGAGTGTCTACACAGCATGCGCAGGCCCTGAATCCTCAGCATAGGGGCTTTGGGGGTGTAGCTTTTCTGAGCACAGCCTTTTCTTTATGGGTTTAATTTTCTGTTCACTGATTTCTGCTCTGGACTTTGTCTCCTGCTCTCTGCTTGTGTAGCCTTTTGTTTTCTAATTCTGCTCAGAACAAGCGGATACTGATTTCAGTCATTTACTACTGTAAATGTCTATACTCCACATTGAATAGTGACTCTCCACTGACACCACATGGTTTGTCAGGGAAACTACATGAAAGAACGGGCTTCGGGAACACATGAGAAGGGAAATTTTGATGAGTCTTGGGGTTTTATCGAAAATCAGAAAAGGATCAATGTGGGAGAAGGAAAACTTAAGATTTTTGTTTATCAATGAAAAAACATAGGGTATTAAAAGGCAGCCCTTAAGACATCCTTGACAATGATGTCCTTGCATTTAAAGATTGTGTTCTTGCATTTTATTATTCAAACTGATCCTAGTGATGGTGCGTGCAATAAGGCACCTGAGCAGGACAGGGTGTGGCACACAGCTGGCTGCACCCAGAAGCCAGTGACAGTCCCTTCTCTCACACAGATGATATGGGTACTAATGTCTAGCTGCACCCATCTGCTTTACTTACTCTCCAGCAGCCTGTATCTGTTTTTACTGATTGTTGCGCTTTCTTTCTATTTCTCTTGCAGAGATGCTGAGCCTATTTTATGATTTAGGAAATGCAGTTTTACATGAATTGTCGGGCTATAATGCCGAGCAAAATATGAAAGATCGTTTGAAAGCTGTGAGTAACTTTGTCCAGATCCAGAGTAACAAGACCTCCGTTGTGTGTTCTTCTGAGGAGAATAACTTAAGCTAGAGGGATGTGAGCAGCCTCCCTCGTGCAGTAGAAGTGATGTTTAAGAAAACCACTGCCACTCTGTAAATGATCCTGTTAGTCCGAGAGCTGTGGGGAAAGAAACCAAGTGTAGATGAGCCGGGAAAGATGGGTCTCTGCTATCTACTTAGACAGTTTACTATCAAACTGTCTTAAGAAGTTATTGTTAACCGGCGGTTGTGGCGCACGCCTTTAAACCCAGCACTCGAAAGGCAGAGGCAAGCGGATCTCTGTGAGTTCAAGGCCGGCCTGGTCTACTAGAGCTGGTTCCAGGACAGGAGCCAAAAGCTACGGAGGAAACCTTGTCTCAAAAATCAAAAAAAAAAAAAAAAAAAAAAAAAAAAAGAGAGAGAGAGAGAGAGAGGGGGAGATACAAAAAAGTTATTGTTAACATCTTCCTTCTCCCCTTCCTCCTCCCTATCCTCCCTTTCCTCCTCCTTAGGGACATAACTCTTGTTCCACGGGAAAAGTGTAAAGAGTAAATTGGACTGGAACACTGTATTTGTTTATAAACCTCTGTTTATTTCTGTAAATTTGTCTGCCTTTCTTGTAGTTTGCATTGTATTTTCCAACCCTTGAGGATTCAAAAGATGTCCATGAACTTTTTCAAAGACAAGTGGCAAGCCAAAGAGTTGAGGGATTTGTTTTGTTTAAATAATTTTTGATAAATTATTTTAATTTAATTTAATTTGTTTGAGACAGGGTCTCGTGTATTCCAGGCTGGTCTCCAACTTGCCCTGTAGCTAGCCAAAGAATGACCTTGGACTCCTGATCTCTCAGCCTCTGCCTTCTGAGTGTTGGGTCCTAACCACACATGGGTATCGCTGTAGAGAACAGGAACCGTCAGGTATTGGGGGCGTGTGCAGTTTGCCCTGATGCTGCTGTGCCCCTGTGGCTCACAGTGGTTGTAAGTCAGCCTCGACTCCCCCTGCCCCCTGTATTATATTATCAGAAGTGTTCCTTCTGAGGGGAGTTTTTCAAGTTCTGAGCCACAGCCCTTGAGGGCACTTGTTACCTCCCAGTGCCCTGCTTAGCCTTGCCTTTCAGGGACATTGCTGTCCCTTGACTGCACTGGGGATGTGGCTCAGGAGAAGAGCACCTATGCAGTGTGGATAAGGCCCTAGGTTTAGCCCCTCCTACAGCAGGGCCACGAAAAGGAGGGGAATCTAATAGGGTTGTTTAACATCTCAAAGTTGGTTTTAAAGGCAAGTAATTTCTTTGTTTGAATTCTTTTCATCCTCTATGGTTCCTATGGCAACTCTCTTCCCCTGGCTGTGGTGGCAGGCACTAACCTTTTCCTTTTCATGTTGAAGCTTTCAGACTTTCCATGAGTCATGTTGTTAGATTTTTTTATTTTTTCCATTTTATACTCTGCATTTCACTCAGGCTTACTACTTTGCCCTCAGGCCTTAAACATGCCAGCATCTTATATCATCATTTCCTTTCCGTGTTCAATAAATGGTGTCCAGCCGTCCCAGTCCGCTCCAGCTGTCAGTCACAGCAGCCCTGTAACCACGGTGTGCCATGGTGTGCTTAGTGCAGCGTGCATGTGTGCATGTGTGTGCCTGGGGACATGGAGGACAGCAACAGAAAAGAGTATCAGAGACAAGATGAGGGTGTGTCAGATCTTTTGAAAATGGAGTAACAGGTATTTGTGGCTTCTAGGATCCAAACCCTAGTCACCATTTTTCTAGGACAAGCTTTCTTAAACTCAGCTATCTTCCCAGCCCAAAATGTATCCCTTTGTGTTAATTTTTTTTCTTGATTCTGTCGTTGCTGTTTGATTTTGTTGTGGTGGTTGGTTGGTTGGTTTTATTTGTTTTTGTTTGTTTGTTTGATTCAGGGTCTTTCTGACTGTTCTGGGACTCTAAAACAGGATGGCTTCTAAGAGAGATCTTCCTGCTTCTTGCTCCTGAGTGCTTCTATCACTTTAATGAAGCTGTAATTAAATGTCTCTAAAAGGCAAACAGTGTAAAAGATAAAATATATATTGATTGTAACTCTTAAGTAAGTGACTTCAATCTGTTGCAATTTTCAGCATTATAAGAACTCAGAGGAGCTGAAAGAACTAAAACAAGTCAAGGAGAAGGAGAAAGTGATTATCAGTTTACAAGCCCAACTTCACCAGGCACAGTCAGAACAAGCCTTGAAGGTAGGAGTGAGTCACCTCGGTATTATTATCTTAACAAATCATTACCAGCCAACAGATATCCACAGCAAATGCCTCTTGTAAGACAATCAGTAGCAATCTTCTATCAGCTGGTCGCTTCCTGCCTTACCTCACTCTCTCGCTTACTTCCACATCTACTCATTTATTAGAGTTTGCAAACGGGTGTGGCATTCTCGGTTGGTATTTGCACATATTCAGTGTATTCTTCATATATGGATCATGTGTTTTCAGAAACTCGTGAATTACATGATTCATAGCATTCGGTCATCTCCGATGCTTTCATTTTCTCCTTGCAGGATTCTGTTAACCTTTATTTTTGGTTGTGTATTTTTTTTAACCAATTTTGATTAATATTTTTTAGATTTATCCTTTTCTCATTTAACTCAAGGCATTCTGTTTTGTGTTTGGCTTTCTCTTCTGAAACAAGCTTTCATTTATATCAACTTCATGAATTTTATTACTTTTTCAAACTTTTCTAACTCTAATTTTCCTTTCATGTCCTCTTCATTTTTCTTAAACATGTTTAACTATGAAATAAGTTACAGTGTCTTTCAGCATATTGTTCGGCTCCTTGTTCTTCGTGATTTTTGTTGTTGTTTTTGAAGGAAGGTCTCACAATGTAGCCCAGTTTTACCTTGAACTTGTGGCAGTCCTCCTGTCTCAGCCCCTAGAGTGCTGGATTTATAGGCATGAGCCACCATGCCTGACTTTTGAATGATATTATGTAATTGTTCATGCATCTTTTGTGTGAATGTTTGTGCTTACATGTATGTATATGCACTACATACCCCCAGAGGTCAGACAAGGACATCAGATCCCCGGGAATTGGAGTTACAGATAGCGTGGGTGCTGGTACAGAACCTGGATCTTTTCATGTGAGCAGCAAGTGCTAGTAGCGACTGAAACATTGCTAAGCCTCTATCTATACAGATCACATATGGGATTTTTTTCCTATGGATGGCCTGCATTTACCCATGATCAAAGAACAGGAAGGGTTGCATCTCTTCTAATACTAGCTGCCACCTATTCCTGCAAATACTTCTTGGATACCTTGGATTTTTTTCACTATTCCACAGGAACATCAGATGTAGCTGTATTGCTGTCTTTTTTATCATTATTATTTTATAGTCTCTAATGCCAAGAAAATCCCAATTTTCATGGTTTGCCTTTAACTTGTTTAGTGCAAGGTTTGTAGGATAGCTCCCTACATATTGTTACTGTTGTTCATGTTTTTTTGCTCACTGTCTGATTGTTCTGTCTCTTTGCTATGTTAGCTTTCAAAGAAATTGAAAAGCGTATTGCTATTGCTTCTCTCTTCTTCTGAAAAGTTTTGGCAATTCAATGATACTTTATAAATTAGCAAATAAAATATGTTTTGCTTTAAAGTTGAAATTACAAAAAAAATAGGGTAGGTATTCAAGGCAAATGAGAAAGTCAAAAGAACTAAAAGTTGCCAATCCCATTGATTAAGTAAATATTTTCCCCCTTCAGTTGGGTAAGAATTCGGTTGGGATGGAGGAGTTCAGCCTGATAAAGGAGCAGCTTCAAGAAAAGGAAGAAATCATTAGCACTTTGCACACTGAGCTCAGACAGACACAGGAAGAGCAAGCTGCACAGGTAGGATGATGGCGCCTCCATTAGGATAGAATCCATGGGGTCCAGAATGGTGCAGGTGGCAAGTCAATACCGGCAGTCACTTGATGCTTGATGAATGAAAGTGTGGTAGCTAGGATATTAAAGCCAAGCCTAGGAGGGTGTGGCAGAAGAAGCTACAAGTATGGTAAGTGGTTCATTTCTTAGTAGGAAACATCAGAAACCCTCAAAAATGCCATTTAGGTTGGTGAACTTGCCATAGCTTCATGATGACTGGTTTTATTCCTTAGGTCCAGGTACTCCATTATAATGCACACAGAGATTGTGTATCTCAGGTATGGCCTCTTGGCAGAACTCAAAGGAAACAGATAGATAAAACAAAGAAATCAAATTATTACTTCCATTCTTCTCTGATTAAAACCTTTTTAGGAAGATATATCTTAGCCTTAAAGCTACTTACTGAACATAGACTAAAGAAGTGGAGGGTATGAGGCTCATTGCTAATGACTCTAGTATGCAGCATTCTTCTTCATGGTCATTCTGAAGCCAGAGCCAGATCAGTAGCTCTCTCCCGTCAGTGTGTCCCTCCCTGACTGCCCCTCCCTCTCTCCCCTGCTTCCTGGTCTACTCATTTTTTAGAGTTTGCATGTGTGTGTGTGGCCTTCTTGGTTGGTATTTGCACATACTTAGTGTATTCTTCATGTATAAATCGTGTGTTTTCAGAAACTGTTGAATTACATGATGCATAGCATTCAGTCAGCAGCGATACTTCTATTTTTTCCTTGCAGGTTTCTGTTAACCTTTATTTTTGGCTTTGTATTTTTTTCCCAATTATGATTAATATTTTTTTGATTTATTCATTTTCTTATTTAACTCTAGGCATTCTGTTTTGTGTTTGACTTTCTCTTCTGAAACGAGTTTTCTTTTCTATGCACTTCAGGAATTTTATTACTTTTTAAAACTTTTCTAACTCTAATTTTCCTTTCATGTCGTCTTCAATTTTCTTAAACATGTTTAACTATGAAATAAGTTACAGTGTCTTCAGCATATATTTCTGCTCCATATTCTTCGTGATTTTTGT